GGACCGGCTGGAGTCAGGGTCGAGACCGGCTGGAGTCAGGGTCGAGACCGACTGGAGTCAGGGTCGAGACCGACTGGAGTCAGGGTCGGGACCGGCTGGAGTCAGGGTCCAGGGTTCCCTTTTGGTTAGTCGTCTTCAAAGTAGTGTTTGTCGGCGGTGGGGAAGGGTGCGTGGAGTAGTCTAATGATCTCATCGTTGAGGATGGCGTCGTTGAGAAAGACTTCTTTGCTTTCCTCGAGGTCGGTGACGGAGTCTCGGAGGTTGATGGTGTCTGCGTAGCCATCGTATCGGCTGCGTTGGCCGGCAGGGCTGGAGGCGAGGTGTGCTTTTTTTTGTTCGAGTGTGTCGGTGAGTATATCTGGTAGAAGGACGATGGTGCCAAGACTGACAGTAAGTTGTACAACACCGGCAGCAAGGAGAGCCATGAAGCCTGTGCTGAGTGTTGTATTGTGCGCGGTTTGGCCCCAGAGTTGTGAAATAATTGGTACTTGAGTGAGAACGATATTTTCACCTAACAGTGGATAAAGTACAGGTCCCCAGATCGAAGTAAGAATGGTCAGGACACTTAGATAGCGCACTGTCGCCCTTAACAAGTCTGTTTCCAAATTTATTAAGAAGCATACACACGCGAGTGTGCTTGCCGCATTCAGCATGATAACAAAATAAAGGAGCGTGCGAACCACGTTACCTGCCCACCGCAAGCCGCTGAAAGTGCGACAGGTTGCCCCCGAAGACGTTATTCCTAAATAACTGAATTCGCACGCACGCCGACTAGCCTCGTCTAGGCTCACTCCATCAAATGTACCGATAATATGCCGACACTGACGATCGAACCAATTATCACCAACCTTCGATCCAAACTGCCGACATTCCGACCACATGTTCACACGCCAAAGACTCACATCCACCCAAAGCGAACTTAGCATCGGCGCACGGATCACACCATGATGATAACTTGGAGCCATCAACGCCCAAATGTGAGTCAAAAAACATGATAATGTCCCAGCTAAAATCAAAATCACACGACGTCGAGTCTTCACAACCCACCAACGCCGAACATCCACTGTTCGAACTGCCATTATGCTATCCCGATCTCCGTGTTTGTGCTCCGTATTTCGCACCAAAAAATACGTCAGCAATCAATATCCAAATGTCGGCACTCCGTATGTCGGCACTCTGTATGTCGGCAGTCAGCTGACTCTATATATATATCTACGGGTGCAGCACCTATTGTCTTTAGTCTCTGGGGTGGATCCCCTAGAGTCAATCCGCAGGGTAAACATAGGGTCCATGAGGTAAAAAAATGTAGGTCTAGGTGGCTTTGCCGAAGGTCTAGGTGGCTTTGCCGAAGGTCTAGGTGGCTTTGCCGAGGGTGCGTATGGTCTGGGTGAAGAGGACGTATGCTCCGTCTGCACCGGTGTCGGTCATGGGACAGGCTGGGGTGCCGTAGACGTCTTTATCTCCTGCGACGAGAGTAAGGTCTACGACTTCGTTACCGAAGTCGGGATGTACGCCCATGGCATGAGAGATGTCCAGTGTGATTCCATCGGCGTCGACTTGGGTGGCTTGGTAGGGTCTGCCGCAGGATGCGATGTCATCGGCGATCGTGAGATTGCCGGGTACTTCAGAGGGCCAGTCGAGGTGGCAAAGTTCGTAGAGGCCGCTGCATTGGTCTTGACCAGGAACGTTGAGATGCAGTTGTGAATTGCGGAGTGTGCGAACTCCAGTCTCGGGTAGGCCATACTGGATACTAGCCGGGAACACCAAACGGACTGCCGCGTCACCCACCAACACCATCTTTGGACCCAACAATACCTCGACACCAAATTGCAGCACACACGTTTGCGGCATTTGCGCCACACACGCGTTTGCCGCCGCCGTCGAACCTGACACACCATCGACACAATAACCGTAACAATCGCGCACGCAATCAGCCGTCTTCTTGTACCGCGAGTTGCTCTTTGCTCGACCACACTCGTGCCGCACACGCACCACTGCGCCCCACGCGACCAATCCGGTCAGCAACCACACCCGAAACAACATGCCGAAATCCCTACTAAATTCACCTCTTGTTATTGGGAGAGGGGTACAGGTATCGGAAGAGGGGTACGGGTATCGGAAGACTTGCGGGCATCGGAAGAGGGGTACGGGTACCGGAAGAGGGGCCGAGCAGTGGTGCTGAGGGAATTATAGGGGCCAAGTAATAATTTAGGGCGCAAAGCTATGAGGTGCACCAAGGACCTCCTAAAGGCCGCCAAAGAGACCCTGAACCCCTGTGGCTCTCGTATGCTCAACCTGCGAGGTAAACCTTCCCACCTCTCTCGACCCTACCTCAGTTCTTTCACCATCACGGTGCAGCAGTCTTTCACAGCAATTCTTTCACCCCCGCCGTCCGCCTTGCATCACCTACGTTCCTCATCACCGCCTAAGTCGCTCACCACGGTGCAACATGTGCAGGGTACCGAATCGAAGTCATTGAGAACCTGGGGGTGCTCAACGACGCGTACGAATGCATTGACTTCTCGGAGAACGAGTTGGTGACACTGGACGGATTTCCACCAATGCAGAACCTGAAGCACCTGATTGTGGCGCAGAATCGAGTTTGTCGGATCAGCGAAGACTTGCACGAGAGCATACCCAACTTGGTATCGCTCGTTCTCGCCGGCAACTTGATGACCGATGTCAAATATCTAGAGCCCCTGAAGCACTTTAAGCACCTGCAACGCATCTCGCTCGTAGACAACCCAGTGGACACGTAGGCAGCCACACGACAATGACAATCACAAAAACGTCACAATGGGCCGTCATAGTGTAGTAGTGGGTGGCTTCGGGTCAATCGTCTTGACTCTTAGGGACCCGCAGCTGCGAAAATATCTTATCGGGATCCTACCTTCCATAAGGTTCATCGACTTCACCAAGGTCACTCAAAGCGAACGGGCTAAGCAGGACGACTAGCTAGGCCGTTATGTGTGTCAGACAAAATGGTTCACATAAATTTCTGGACTAGTTGTTCGCGGGTTGCGGGCTGGCGTTGGTGTTAATCGCGCACAATTAAAATTCCAAAAAGTGTGTTTGTGAAGAATGTTCGACAGTAGACCTAACTCAAGCACAGTCCTTCTGGAGAATGCTTGGTCTAGTCGCGTCTAGTTGAAGCGTGGGAAGAGCGGGAGCGCGTTCTTACACATGATCCTGTGACGATGATCGTCAGCGAGTTGATCCGTGTGGTCAAGTGCGATGGCGAGTTTCTTTACAAGGGGTTCGGGTGTGAAGGGCCAGTCGCTGCCGTAGAGTAGTTTGTCGGGGTCGGCGATTTCGAGTAGTGGTTTGATCATGCGGGGTAGGGGCATGCCTGCGAGGTCGAAGTAAAGTTTGTTCAATATTTCTAGTACGTGTGCTTCGTTTAGCGGCGCGGATAGACCGATGACGGTGGAGATGCCGACGACCCGGTCGATGACTATGGGGAGTACGGCACCGGCATGGGGAATGATCCAACGTATGTTGGGGAACTTGTTAAAAGTATTCTGTATAATCATGTTACATACAGCCCGTGTAGTCTCGAACAAGAACTCTATCATGGGGCCTGGGTACTTGGCCCCCATGGTGGAATTGCGCATGTCGCAGCCAGCGCAGTGAGGCGATGTAGGGTGCATGAACAGCACCGTCTTGCGCTTATCCATTTCCGCCAAAACCGGGTCCATTTGCGGGTCACCGGGATAAATGCCTTCCGAGTTGCTTTCGATCACAACGCCGTCGGCCTTCAGCTCGTCCAGCGCATAACTTAACTCCTCCAAAGCTCCCGACACATCTGGGAGCGGCAAACTTGCAAAAAAGCCGAGCCGATCTGGGTGCGACGCTACGGCCTTGGCACCTTCTTGGTTCACATAGCGACTCAGTGCACGTGCCTGCGCATCGTCTCCGAAATACACACCTGGCGAAGACACCGACAACACCGCCTTGCTGATGCCGCATCCGTCCATCATCGCCAACGTACTCTCCACACTCCATTCCGGCAAGTACGGCATCCCGTCCGGCCTCCCGTGTCCAGCGGCAATCACCGCTTCCCGGTACTTGCTCGGTAGGTAATGCACGTGCACATCAATACGACCACTCTTACCCTCCTGCATTCCCTTCTAAAATTTTCACAACTGGCCTGTCCTAGATAAATATCGTTTGCTTGTCTCCCACAGATAGTTCCTCCGTGCCGCTTAGCGAGCTGTTGTCTTTGGCTGTTGCGGTTCGAGCCTTGCCCTCTCACCGACATCAAGGGGCACAAAGTCATCGCCTAATCTACCTGGTACTAGTTTACGAATCCCCGCTATCAGAGCTCCCCGCTATCAGTAACGCACGTGGATACAACACGCACACGAGCAAGATGACACCGCCTACGACAGACCACATCAACATTCTTCCAGCCATCGTCATCATGGACCAGTCTTCAGTCAGTCGCTCCGAAACTTTAGGACATCACGGCCCGCGGCGAAGGAACGCTTGGCGAATGTGTTCTCGCGGATGATCCGTCGTCTTGAAATGTTTGTGGCAATTGGATCCCGCAGGCTTCGTGGGGCGCTTGAAGCCTGAGGGTGCTCTTTGGAATCGCACAACGTACAGTGACGGTCTAAAGGGTCAGCTGCAGCGGGATGGATGGTGACCCTTTAGGGGATGGCATGGACGACAGGCTCTGTGTCTTGGACGCGCTGACGGTCACGATGGACGGCCTTGATGCTCTCAACTATGTCTTGAGGTGATGGGTGCTTGAGCCAGCTCGGTGTTTTTGCCGGGAGCGTAGTCGAGACAGACGCGGCTTTTATTTGTTGCGTGGCCGTTGTCGCCAACCCCTCGATCGTAAACATTTTTGATAGAACAGTTGGAGCCATGGATCATGGATCGAAGACGGGACTTCAAGCTCTTCAGATAGCAATATTGTGATCTCGTTCATGAAATCTAACAAAGGCCAAAAAAAGCGGTTCGTGATTACGGATAGTATCCATTCAGACATAGAGTGTGCACAAATAGAGGGCCCCTCTCTGTCACCTGGCGGGCTACCCGTTTTTCATTTAGTCGTCGAAGGAACAAATTCCTGACCGGCTACCCAGACCTTCTTGATTGATCGGGTAGCCTTGATGTCATCGATAGGGTTTCCATCAATCAAGACTAAATCGGCGCGATATCCTGGCTTGATAACTCCACGGTCTTTCAGACCAAAGTAGTGTGCCGGCAAACTGGTCGCCGACTGAAGAGCCTCCTTTGTAGACAGCCCACAACTTACGAGAAACTCTAGTTCCTGATGCAGACTCGTGCCATGAGGAATCCCGCGTCCTGGGACGTTGTTGGCATCGGTGCCCGCTAAAACAGGTACACCCGCATGGTGCAGCACAGTTACCGTCTTGAGTGCGTTGGCAAAGTCAAAGCCCGGCCTCTCCTGATCAATACCCTTCATCTGACAAACAGACTCCAACATGATCAGCGTTGGGACACTAATACGTTTGTTCTCGACCATCTGCCGCACTTCGTCATCGCTCATGACTCCGTCCAGAGGAGCATGTGTAATGATATCCACGCCGGCCATCTGTGCCATGCGCGTCGCCTCGAGGTTGACCGCATGCGCGAAGACAACTTTACCTTTGTCATGAGCAGTCCTTACAAGAGCATTGATCGACTCCTGATCGGGTCCTGGAGT